CAAAAACCCCGACCCGTATCGGAAGAAACCCACATCATCGGTCTCGTGGTGGGCTCCTCTCTTCGGCTGGCCCTCGGATCCCGATTATGTGAACACCGACAACTCCTCGATGAGCCATGAATCGGGTCCGGGTAAGATCGAGATTCCCGAATCTGGTCAGGATCCGGGTCGACCCGGTCATAGATTCACGCCCGGCTGCTTCACGGAGGAGAAGGCAAAGCAGCTTCGGAGGAAGATCGCTGAGGGTTCTGCGTTCCACGACGTAATGTACCACTCAGCGATCGCATCGCGGCTCGCGTCGGACGTCTCGGGTCGGGTTGAGAAGTAAACGGATCGGGTCGGGACCCGTCGGATCTGGTGATGCATGAATGAATCGAAGTGTTTTTTTTGTCTAAATTTACTGTGTTTCTGTGGGATGAAGAACAGCTTCTTTCGGTGATGCTTTTTATTAGAGCCGTTGGATCGTGCACGGTCTTTTGTTTTGGATCGTTGGATCGTGCTTTGACGTTGTCTGTGTGAAGCCCTTTGTTTGACATTATAGATGTATTTCTAACCGTTGGATGCGTTAGCTGGTGGATTCTCTGATCTTACCAACCGTTGGATCACTGTAGTATATTTCTCTTGTGAAACGCAACTATGGTGCTTTGATTACGATGCAAACCGATAAATTATGGTTTGATAATTTGGCTGATTTACTACCAACTAATAATATCATATTATTCTGACATGAATTTGTGTGACAATCATTTATTGATATCTCGAGTTTCCTTGCTTTTGGAAATTGGAATTCGATTTTCTTAGAATTATATGATATTTTTATATTGAAGCATTGGTTTGATTTGGATTTGTTAAAATTCGGATGGACTTAACTTTTATTTAAAAAAATATTTTCATTGGAACATTTTATATATTAGACATACTGAAAAGAAAGACACCATATTCACAAGAATTCTTATAGTTCAAAGTCAACAATTTTTTAATATTTTTCCGATGTAAAATGGGCTGGTTCAATCTGGTTCGGGCCAGATAAGTTCGAACCAGCTCGTTTCCGGTCTAACTCGTTGCGTCCGTTTTTTACGAATTTGATTTTTTTTTCAGGATCAAATCATACGAGTTCGTAAATCAAATAAAAATATTTAAAAATAAGAAAATATTTAAAATGATAAATTTTTTAAAACTATTTAAAATATTAAAAATTAATAAATAAACAATTTTTTTTTCTGATTTGCCGGTTAGTTTATAAACTCTCGAGTTCGGTCAATCCATTTTGTTGGGATTCGAATTTTTTAAATCCAAATCAGAAAATATAGACTGATTCGGGAGATGATTGCTAGACATCACGGTGCATTGGATATGTTTACGTGTTTTATGTATTATTTTGTTAGATTTGATTTTGTATAACTTTGATCTGTTCCTTATTTGATATTTATCATATATTAAACGAAAAATTGTTCTTATGCTCTTTCAACATGACTAGAAGCATTTAAGTGAAGAAAAAACGTTCATGTTAAACGGAGAAGGACCATGGAAATGATGTATACTGATGTTATTCAGGCACTCCGAGCCAAGGGCCTCGAGGAGGATCCGAGAAACTATTTAACTTTCTTCTGCCTCGGAAACCGGGAGGTGAAGAAGGAAGGAGAGTACGAACCTGCCGAGAGACCAGACCCGGACACATATTATATCCGGGCACAAGAAGCACGTCGCTTCATGATCTACGTTCACACCAAAATGATGATCCGTAAGTAGGGATGGTTTATTCTGGTTTAGTTCAATTATATTCGGGTTTAGCTATTTCGGTTTTTATATTAAATTCCGTTCACTTCTATTTCGGTTTGGGTTTGATTCGGTTTCGGTTTTTATGATAAAAAATACTCATTTTTTTAAAAGAAATTTTCGAGTTTTCAATTATGTTTTTATTCGGTTCTAAATCGGTTTTTTTTTTTTCAGTTTTAGAGAAATAACTACCATTTAGTTTTTATATCATATTTGATTCATTTAACTATATGGTTCAAATTAGTTTTTTTTTGGTTTAATAAGTACATTCCCATTTAAGCTGCATTCTCCTTATTCTAAGCCGATTTTGCTAACCCGATGCCGCACGCATTTCGCAGTTGACGACGAGTATATTTTTAACTTTATGAGATTTACATCAAAAGCCATATTCAAGAACTTAAAGAAAACTGTAAAAGAGAGAATATAAAACAAAAATAGAGGAAAAGAGATAAATGGGAGCAAAAATATTTCTGTATTTTATTCCTTTTACTCTACTTCTTATATAGACAATCACATATACTCACACCATTATAATCACCAATATAAACACCAATACATATAATAGTTTGTTATAATGATGTAACAAATACTAACAGAAAATATTCTCTAAATATCCTCTAATATATATCATCATCGAATCCGCAAACATCAACCAGAGATCAATGGATGGTGCGAGAGACTCCGAGATAGCGATAGGAGGATACCAACCGTATCACTTATCGACGAGACAGCCAGCTCGGGGTCAGATCCATGGGTTCCGGATGTCGTTATATGGTACGAACACCTGGGAATGCCTGACGAAACTTTCCTCGACCCGTCGAGCGAGGAATGCATCCAGAAAGTTAACCGTGTTGCTGACAAATACTGGGATCTCTACTCGAGCGAGACGCTCGAGCATGACCTCCCGGGCCACCTTCTCCGCTACCCCGTCGGGGTTTCCAGCGAAGGGACCGTCACAGAGCTTCCGGTTGTCGAGTTCTTCCCCGACACCAAGGCTCGTGTTCTCGGCGCCAAATCCGACTACATGCCGCCCATCCTAACGACCTGAAGCGTTCTTTCTGGTAATCAAATCTCTTTCCTTTCATTTTCCCTTTCAATAGATTTTAACAAATCTGATATTTTCTGGAACTTCCGGTGGTGTATGCTTTGTGAAACTCTCTTTGTTATAAATTTTCATATGTTTATATTTATTGTATATTATTTTTAATTTTCGATGGCAGAAAAATGATATAGAAATTGGTATCCATAGTCAGCATTGGAACGTTCAAAGCTAATGTAACGTTTTCACTTTTTAGTCGTTGAGGCGAATCACGGCGTTTCTTACTTCGAAAACTTTGTTAGGTCGAGTTGCGAAACTATTTTTATTAAATGAATTATACCATATCATTTTAAATTACCATTTTCAAAATTTCCTTTTAGCCATTCGAACTTACCACATTCACAATTTTTATTCCATATTTATTTCAATTTTCTCGTTTTCCAAAAACAAATGTTTTGTATATATATTACAAAAAGAGAGCCCTTTTTCCAAAAAAAAAAAAAAAAAGAATCCAATAGTTGTACTATGACCAGTCTCTCTGCTACACGCATATATATATATAGACATACTGAAAAGAAAGACACCATATTCACAAGAATTCTTATAGTTCAAAGTCAACAATTTTTTAATATTTTTCCGATGTAAAATGGGCTGGTTCAATCTGGTTCGGGCCAGATAAGTTCGAACCAGCTCGTTTCCGGTCTAACTCGTTGCGTCCGTTTTTTACGAATTTGATTTTTTTTTCAGGATCAAATCATACGAGTTCGTAAATCAAATAAAAATATTTAAAAATAAGAAAATATTTAAAATGATAAATTTTTTAAAACTATTTAAAATATATATCTTTGTGTACAAAACATGAGTTGAAAAAATCTCTGTCGACCAATTAAACATCTTGAAGAAATAAAAAATTCGAAAAAGTTTCAACCTTTCGTGTTTTCCTTGGGTTTTTCTCGGGAATTCCCAATCTGGGTATCTTCATCAAATCCGTATCCAAAGAAGCTCCACCCACATGCCTTGTATTCTTAGCTGCTCTGATGGCGTCGTGATCGCAACCGCCATTGTTGTTTCAAGCACTGCTTTGTTTCTTGCCATTTCCCGCCAATTTTCTGGGAATCAGACGGACCGAGATCAGAGTCAACGGCCGATCCTCCGTTCTTGTCTTTCTTCAGGTACCCTTTGAACCATTTCCTCGGATAATCCCTCTGTTTCTTTCCTTTGAAAGCTTCCCGGAATTTTCATTTTCTTTTTGGGTTTTGAAGAGGAGAAGAAAAAACAGAGGAAGAAGCAGGGGAAGAGGGTGCAGTTCGCGGAGAATGTGAAGGAGACGAAAGGGAAAGGGACGGGGAAAGAGAACCGGAGGGAATCCAGCCGGAGAACCAAACCGGTGAGTAAACCGGAAAAAGCCGGGTCAGTTTGCAGGAACGAGATGCCAGCGAACCGGATTGCTATGTACTACGGGGTTCTGAGGGATAGATAATCACAGAATTCAGTACTCTTAGAAAAAAAAAAGCAAAAAGAAAACGATTTGTCCTTTAATTTCTTGGATTTTCTTATCTTCCGAAAATGTGATTGGTGGCTCACGTATTTTCCAGTTTATTTTCTTCTTCCCCTCGAATTTTTTTTCTTTTATTGTGAACTTTCTTGTATAACCATGTAAATTTAATGACTGACAAGTTAAACACTTGGTTTTACATTAACTAATGTGTGCTATATAGACAGACCTAAAAAAACTCATACATATACATATACATATACATATACATATACATATACATATACATATACATATATCCCTTAACTAATACGATTGAGATGTGTATTGATAATGCGCAGGCTGGTTCTTTTGTGCCCTTGAGCTTGAAGCACTTGTAGTTGTACTTTTAAAATTTATTAGAGTGGCTTTTAGCATTTTTTGTAAAAAACAAGGACATCCACCTTCTTACTTAACCTAATCAAATCATTTGGGTTTTCCAATGCGTGGTCCCCGAGGAAGGTCAGACGCCAGAGAGAAACTTGTCTGGGTCTCGATCGAAGTCATCTGGCTGCCGAAGTTTTCTCGAACTTGGAGAATCCGAATCTTCTAGAGAGAAGCAAAATCTTTTCTTTTTACCGTCGAAGATACCGTCTTTTTCCTCTCGATCTCACCTTCTCCTGAGTGGGTTTCTGTTCATCTTGCGATTCGATCGTTCATTAGCTTTTCTGGGTTTTGATTTTTTCTTTCTGGGGAAGTCTAAGAACAGAGAAGGTTGTGAGCGTTTCTCCTGTTGTTTCCACCATGGGGTAAGTCAAAGTTCATTCCTTTTGCTATTTTTCATTCGGTTTGTTTGATAATCGTGTAGGTTTTTTTGGTTTGGTTGAAAGTGATTTTTGGGTCAATTTCGAAAATTATGGTTTAGCTGCTTGGAAGCATATTCACGATTGTTCTTCATCGAGTTCGTGGTGAAAACATATTTATTTTCTGGGCTAATCTGCTAGTTCCAGGATTGCATTTCTCCAGGCATCTCATGATCTCGTCTTCTTCCATTGACGTGTATCTGGTTTTTTTGTCAAAAGGTTTGAGCTTTTGAGAGTGTTAAACATGGAATCAGAACAAAAGCCTTAAGAATCATGGATTCTGGATGTAGAATTGTTTGGTAAATGATAAGGATGTGTTGCAATTGGTGTAAAAAATAAATGATTCTGAAGACATGTGATTTGTAACAGAGCAGTGGTTGTCTGGCATGTTTATACAAGTCCAAAGTAGTTGTGTCCGAGGCTCCCAAAGAGCTACTACATTGTACTGAACGGAGAGACCACACTGTCTCAGAGGATTTCTGGACCAATTTCAGCACCTTGGATATGGAAAACTATCCCAGAATTCGGTCACAGGGAAAGGTTTCGTCGATTAGTACTTCGAACGTGACTGTTGTCGATTCTCAGGGAGGTGGTTCCGACCCGTCTGAGTTTGTCAATCATGGTGAGAGGAGGAAGTTCCATGTCCTTTTTTTTTTAATGTTGCCTTGTTGTTTAGTCATTCAAGATTCCTCATCAGCTGCTGGTTACAGGTCTCACTCTGTGGAATCAAACCCGGAAATGGTGGGTGGGAAGTAAAACGAAAACGCCCAAGATGCATGAAAGACGTGTTCAAGAACCGGTATTGAGGTGAGTTGCTACGACAGTTGATGTTGTATAGCAATAGTAAAAGAGAGTAAAATGCTGATGAACATCTTGTAGATTAGATCCTCTTTAGTGAATCTCTTCTCGAGGATGATAGGTCTTATGCTTAAGCAAGTTCTTGTATCTGATGCTAAGTGTTGGGCTGAAATCCTCTACTTTGCAGTAAGAATGTTACATACGAGAGTCTACTCGGGAGCAACAAGCCATTTCCCCGACCTCTTCCTCTCTCTGTAAGTTCTGCTTTTCCATGGCCCTGAAGCAGATGAACCCGTCATTTCGCATTCAAGTGTTCTAAAAAAGATTTTCTCCGGGTTTCTTCTTGTAAACATTGCAGGAAATGGTGCAGTTTCTGGTGGAAACTTGGGAACAAGAGGGTTTGCACGGCTGAATCTTCCTACAAAAAAACATTTGGATTATGCTATATTTACTCGCGTGATCGTATAATCTGATCTATAAAACCACACGGGATCTATGGCACATCATCTGTGACGAGGTTTGGGATAGTGACTAAACAATACAAGGATCATTTGCTGTCGGGATCTGTCCTCATTCTTGGATCTTGTTTTCTTTATCATTCGTTTCGTTGAAGATGCAATCTTTTGTTAGATTCTCTTTACAGTTCAACAGCGAGATTCTTATAACCTAAACAGAGCATTGCAAGATCGGCCGTTTTCATTCGTTCACGAGATTTGAAACCCTTTTTTTTGTTTCCCTGCAAAATTTCATCTGAAAGCTTTTCTTTTCTCTGATAACATAAATAAATCCTTGAAGATAAAGAGAAAGCAACTGCTTTGCACTTGAGAATAAACAAAGTTTCAGAAAATAATAAGAAAGATCCCAGATATCTGTCTGAGAAATATCTCAGAAGCTCCGTGGGACACGTCGGAATGTTCTGTTTGCATTTGGTTCTGTATGAACCTGGAAACTCTCAAGAGACTTTCTGCAACTTGTCAGAAACCGAATCTTGAAACCAAGGCAAACACAAAACCCATCTTATAAGATCAACGGAATTATTGCTGAGGTGAAAAAATAAGAACAGAAAAAAAGAGAACAAGAACATATAAAACATCATCTTCTAATTCTTTTTCCTTAAATGGCGTCTACGACGGGTTGAGCAAGAAGAGAAATACAAAGGAATTGAGTCTGGGTAAGTTCCCAACTCAGTTGAAAAATGATAAATTCTCTCTAAACGAGATTGTAGGTTCGATTCTTTTTAAATTATGAGTTTTCTCTGAACTGATCAGCTTCGACGAGGTTATTACCCCGCGTGATTTATCGGCTATTGCGTAGATGCGAAGGATTTATCGTCCGATTCGAAGAACTGTGAGACGATGTTCGAACCAAAGGGTGTGAGACGGGTCCCACCATTATAAAAAAAAAGATGGAGTCTGTCAGGAGAAGATATATATGCATGGTTCGACAAAAAAAAAAGAGAATGCATTAGGGTTATATGAACATGTAATAATGTATAAAACTACCAACCTGATAGATTATCTATCACTTTTTTCTCAGAAAAATGTAATTTTTGGATGCCAAGTACGTATGACACATTTGATTATGAACGCTCATTAGGGTTTTAATTTTGTAAGTAGATGATTAATAACGAATTTTGTGGAAAAAAAAAATTGAAACTCGACTGATTTAACCGACAGTCACAGTGCCTTCTGTAACCGTTGATTTTTACGTATTTTTTTTGTATTGTATTTTGTATCCCTTTATTCTATTCTATGTATTTATTTTTGGCAAACACGCACACGTATGCATTCTACGAAAAAAGGAAGGCGAGGCCTAAATTTCTCCTTGGAGGAAAACAATGGCGACGGCTTTCTTCTACACGAGCTCCAGCTCCAGCATCCACCGCCTCTGCCATCGGTCGATCTCATCTCCGCCGTGCGTCTCGACGTCGCCGCCGTTTCCTCCGTCGCGTTTGCACCGTCGAAGCTTCCTCCTCCTCGCCGCACCCAGCACCGGCCGTCGTCTCGCCGTCGCCCCCGGCCCTCCCTCTCCGCCTGGTCCCGAACCTCCGCCTCCGCGGAACACGAATGAGCTCGCGGGTTCGAATCCTTACTTTTTTTAACCAGAATTTTAGTTTTTCCTGTTGAATTTGAATTCGAATTTATTTGGCTCATTTCTGTTTTACCCTTACGCGCTTAATCTCTAGTTTCGTTCCAGAAATTCGAAATTGATCGATAATTTGATTCATATGAGAGGTTCCGAGTATGGTTCATTTATTATTGGGAATTGAAGTTGATGAAGAAGTGTGTTAGATTTTTCACTTCTTGTTGGTGTTGGTTCTTGGTGAAGCTTAGTTAGATGTTTGGAGAATCAGTTTTGTTTCACGAAAATTTCAGATGAGAAGAGGAATTCTCCTAACAAATTTCTAAATAATCTCTGAAAATTTTGTGCTTATGGAACTTAAAAAGTTCTCATGTTTCAAGGTGTTAATGGGGTTTTCAATTTGAGATTTCAGGATCATCTTCCCTTAAGCAATTAGTCAGTGTGGCCTAAAAGATCAACCATTTCTTGAGTTGAGATTGAGATTTCATGATTTCTTTCATTTAGCAATTAGTCATTGTGGTGTAAAAGATCAACCATTTCTTGAGTAGAATTTCTAGTTTTTGTTGTTTCTATGTTCAGTTGACATTTCATGATCTCTTCCTTTGGCAGTTAGTCCATTTCTTGAGTAGAATTTCTAGTTTTTGTCTGTTTAGCTGTCGAAAAGGTTACATGACATGATCTCTTCTAGACAAAGCATGTTGAAGAACTTGGTTTTGATGTCGATAGTGCTTGAAATTTCATGCCGAAGCGAGGACATCAGTCGTGAAATCGTAATGAATCCACCAGCCATCTCTCTGTCTCCATGCTCATCTTGGTATTACCTTTCTCTCCAACAGGTTTCGTTAGATCGATCTCCCGGATTCAAGACCGAGTTAGGATATTCTTTGCGGTGCTATTCTGGATGTCACTCTTCTTTTGGGCTTCCGCATCTGACGGGAAGGGTAAGGGAAA